GTATATTATATTTAGTATTCTTTCATATTCCTTTTTATAGATTTAACGTTTAAAAACATCGTTTTATCATCAGACTTCCTACCATATTCAATTAACTTCTCTTAGATAGAACTTTATATTGATTCGTTTCGGATGATTTAAAACAAAATTTAAAATTTGTTTGATTTTTTAGTTCTGCTTCATTTTTTTGTGTGTATTTTTACCTTATTGTGCTTTTAATGTTAGGCTTTTACTTTTGATACTGTGTTAGGTGAGGTTTCTTATTTTTGCTTAGCGAACCCTCCGATCGCCAATAATGGTGATTTCGAATAAGAATAACATTTTATTTTTGGCCAGTCATCGCACCATGAAATATGGAAATTTCAGGAAAAAAGGTTATTTGTGTTTATTATCCCTGCACTCTCCTGAAAATAAGAGATATAACATTTGTCAATCTCAATACTACTGTTTACTTTCGTCAATAAATTTTTATTTCTATTTTCTCCACCACTTAGTTGCGTTTGGCAAAATAATTTTGCTAAATCAGAAAACAGTTTTTTCCGCTTTCCTCCGACGACTTTTAAAAAAATATATTCGCTAAACAAGGTATTAAAAAAGTCAAGCCTTATTTGTTATGTATTTCATCGTATTGTCATTGTTTCATGTACTCCTTTTATGGGTGGGCTTCCCGCAGTTGAATGCGATTTAAATTAAAAGTAAGAATAAAAACGTTAATCGAAAGTAAGACATTGCGATTATATATTTGGAGAGAACACCGCGTTTCTAGTATAGTTTAGGTAATGAACATTACAAAGCGTAATATTTTAAAAGCAAGATTAAACAATAGAAAGGTACTTAAACAATAGAATGGGCGTGTATAAATATCAGTAAAATGGTGTGCAGTTACAGTCAGCGTTAGAAGCAGTAAAACAATAATAAATCAATATAACATGCCGGCCTATAATCTAAATCAACATAATGAATGGTATGCAATCAATGTCGCAACTTGATAGAGCTTGTGATTAGCCTATAGACTAATTCAATATAAACATAATTACATAGGAGAATCATAATATAATTGTATTATCTATGTATCTCCTTCATAGCAAATGGTTGTGTTCGAGTGCCTCACTTTATACAACTGGAAATAACAACTTTTCGTTATAGATGTTTTGATAAAATTACAACGTATACGTTCCTATTCAAGCCCCGTTACTATTGATATAAAATAAGCTAAAATGTAAAAGTTTAGAATCGGAATGTATTTATTAATAGGCCCTATTATTAGCTGGAATATAGAATAAGAATATTTAAGAATAAGATGCATATAGCACAATAAATTGGAAAGTTGTCAAAAAATGTATATGACTCGCTGCCGCTTAAAGGTATAGGCCTAATTATTGATTAAATAGATACGTTTTAAGGAGGGAATGCATCAGTATTAGAAGTTGATTTAAGTTTAGGTGGAAGAGAAAATAAAAAGAAATAGGCCTATGTTTGAAAATTACCGGTATTTGGAAATTAAAAATATCTGTAGGCCTATAGAAAAGGTAATTTACGACTTCATGAACGGCGGAAATCGCTGTACAAGTTGTGGCATGGATCTTGATCATACACCCACATTTTCTTAATCTTAATATAAAAAAAAAAATAGTTAAGACGAATTGAAATTTTATTTTTCTTAATGAAATAATAATTTATGTAAATGTCGACGTTTTGTGGCAAAATTGACAAGCAAACAGCTTCTTTAGTACCATATTTTTGTAATGTTGAAACTTGTTTCAATATACTACCTTGCTACCATTTCACTATACAATACTACAAACAAAATATGAGTCCTCCATTCTTATTCGGCTTCATCAGAAACGGCAAATGGAGTAGTTGGTTAAATATAAATCCATCTATTATTATTATTATTATTATTATAATTATTATTATTATTATTATTATTATTATTATTATTATTATTATTATTGTTATTATTATTATTATTATTATTATTATTGTTATTATTATTATTATTATTAATAGGAGACCCGCGTTCGATTTCCACATTTTGGCGAGTTTTAAACACATCTTCACTCTTTTCTATTTATATTATTTGTTTAGAATTAGCTGTCGCAATGTAGATTAGAGACGGATGATCATGCTATTTATAGTATTAATCACAATAACAATGATTAGTAATCATTATAATATCGTCACAGATACCACGAAGTGACACAAAACATAAATATTGATAATTGTTAATTTTCTTTCTTTTGACATTTTGATTTTTAATGTAACTACGTTATTTATTTAATTAGCCATGGCGAACAAACCGAGAAAAGATTTTTCGTTTTCACGAACAGACTGAAAACTTTCAGTGGATATCTGAAGACGCACTTGCGGAGTTGCGATCGCTGTCATCAGTTAGATAAGGCCTAGCTGGGTTAGGGCTAGATGTAAAGATTAAAATCCATAACTAATTCCTAGGTAGAGCGGTACCCTTCTTGCAGTATAACTTTGATAGGTCTGTGATCACCTTGCCTACAATGGTTAAATCATAGAGAAAATATTTTAACTATGGTTAAACAGGCTAAAATACAGTTATGTCTGACAGCGGAGCGCCGCGTTCATCGCGTAAAATGTGATTTTTGTTTTCACGAAAAGACAACAACGTCACGGGTACATAGGCCAATGCTGTGTTTAGTTTGTGTTTTCACGAATAGACACAAATTAGGTTAATTAAAGTTAACAAAAGAAAAAATAAATTGAACATTGATTTGTTTAATACTTAAGCTTTAAATATGTAAAAGAAAAAGAAAATTTTTGATATCTTCAGAGATTTACGGTTTAAAATAGTCCACTTCAAACGCGTTTTTCTCAAAGCGCTGTTTTGGTCGAAATTGAAGTCTGTCTCACTTCGTGGTGTCGGTGACGATATGTAGCGTAGAGCACAAACCAAGAAAAGAGTTTCGTTTTCACGAGAACATACTGAAAACTTTGAGTTGGTATCTGAAGACGTACATGCGGAGTTGAGATCGCTGTCATCGGCTAGATAAGGCCTAGCTGGGTTAGGAATGGATGTAAAGATTAGAATCGATAACTAATACCTAAGTACAGTGGTTACCGTAAACCATAGAGAAAATATTTTCTCTATGTTTAAACAGGCTAAAATACAGTTTCTGACAGCGGAGCGCCGCGTACATCGCGTAAAATGAGATTTTCGTTTCCACGAAAAGACACAAACTTCACTGTTACGTGTAAACAACATAGGCCTAGGCCTATGCTGTTTTAATTTGTATGTTTTTACGAATAGACAAAAATTAGACTAATTAAAGTTAACAAAAGAAAAAATAAATTGAACATTTGAAATGTTTAATGCTTAAAAGCTTTAAACATGCAAAATATAATCAAAATGTCGTTATCTTGATAGTGGAATTTACGGTTTTGTAAAGTAGACCACTTTAAACGCGTTTTTCACAAACGCTGTTTTGGTCGAAATTGAAGTCTGTCTCACTTCGTGGTGTCGGTCGGTAACGATATGTTGTGTAGAGCACGGTAGTTGCCGTAATTTCACATTATATGATGTTGCTGTCGGCCAAAAAATAATAATTTTTAAGTTTTAAATACTAGAGCTCATTTGAACGATCAACAGATTTTTTTTTTTTTTACTTTGAACCAGAAACAGGTCGGGAAAATAGTTTTCTCTGATTTACAAACATTTTACTACGAAAATCTTTGAATTGACTAACTAATTTAAGAAACTATTTGCAAAGCAATACAGAAGTTCATTAACTAACTTAACATAGGCCTAATAATCAGTGAAAACCCACCCCATAAAGAGCAAAATTAGGTTAGTCGATCATCAGGAAGAGTAATCACACGGAATAATAATAATAATAATAATAATAATAATAATAATAATAATAATAATAATAATAATAATAATAATAATAATAATATTAGAAACACTATCCTTCCCAATATGTATTACAAAATGATAAATTGATTAGGTAATTAATAATTATTGCTTATTGCTTATCTGGTGTTTTTGTTCATTTATTTTGTTTATTAGGCCTATAATAGTGTAAAATATTTTTAATCTTGTATTTATGATTGTTAATAATTAACCAGATAGATACATCATGTGTATATATGCACGTATATGA